GGCCATTTTCTGACTATTTTGTTATCTGTCCAGACAAAACGGCAGCTGTGGATGAGACAGAAGATACTGGGGCAGAGATGACTGAGGAGGAGTGGAACCTCCGTGTGGCTGAGCTCAACAAGCACCAGGTCTGTCTCTGCAATCTGAAAACACGTGTGAACAAGCAAAACATGTAATGCACTCATCATTAATGTCAACATAAATCAGAATCAGAAATACATCCCAGAAATACTCTGCAGAACAGGACAAATCCACTGGACAGCTTTTAAAGTGCATTTCAAAGCTCCTGCTCACTGCCCTCTGCTCATAAGGTTCCATCTGGTTAGAAGGTCCCTGAAATACCACCGACATGAGCCAAGTGTCGGCTTTTAGATTCCTTCGGGATATAACCGTCATTACTTGCAATGTGTTTCTGGACAAGGAGCATTTGAGTGAAACTGCTCAACCAGCACAAAACAATACACAGAGGAATTGGTGGGTGTACATTTTTATGTGACTGACCAGCCTAACATATCTCAGTGAGCCAGGGCACGAGCAGCCTTATGACTCCCTGCTCAAAAAGGGAAACAGTAAATCAAAGGTGGGAACTAAAGACATGTTTTCTAAATTAGGTCGATTAATCTATGAAATGGCCATGGATATGAAATAGAAGGCAGATGGCAGGAAGACATTTATTATAGATTGTAGAAGATGTGTGGACGATTCAGAATCGTCATTGCAGTCCTAAAGGGGAGCTCCGCCGACTTTACACAATAAAGTCTCTTTACGGGTCTTGGGGAGTAACCTACTACTGAATATGTTAAACAAGTTGTATAAAGCCTGTGAAATCTGACCGAGATCTCTGAAGATTACAAGTTAGAAAGTGAAAGAAATCTGGGGATGCAGAGTTATAAATAAGTGAGTTTACCAGAGCTCTCTGGCCCGCTCCTCATTTCTGCTTGTGGCCAGCCACTCGAAGCTAGGTTAGCCACTACTAGCTTATCACACCTGAATCTCAGACTGAACTGACGGTGGTCGAGGCGAGTTGAATTGTGGGTAATGTTAGCACCAGGTTTTTACAGGTAAGGATATGGAATAAAAAAAGACGCTACCTCTGGTTTAGCTGTGTCAATATTGATAGGTATTTTTAACTGTCCATTGTGAGTCTGCATATTATAGGAGCGCAGTGCTAAATGTGTGATGTAGAAAATAATTAATTGCATAGCCTATTCTGAGGAAGAACAATGATAGAAACACTTGGCTACAGAAATGTCTGAAAAATAACTTGGTATTAGAACACAATGGAATATTGCTGCCAACAACAAAAGAAATAAGGTCTGGAACCTCCCCAGACAACAAATAAAGATGGTCGCCGTTCTAGTCCCTCTCTAGACAAAGAACAGGGATCTAGAACCTCTCCAGCCCAAGAGTGAAGCTCTAGAACCGACTTCTAAAACCTGTCCTGACACCTTTCTGGAACCTCTACATTCAGAATATTTTTTGTGGCATGTCTACTCTTGTGTGTATATGTGCTTGCTTATATGTGTGAATGAGAGCATGAGGCTCACAAGGTAGGACTAGGGCTCTGGCTTGAGGCCATGGCTGAGTCAGCATGGTCATGTACCCTGTACTCCAGAAGGGCAGCTTTTAATGCCATTGTAAACACAATGTGGCTCTGTGGGTACAAGTTTGGTGTGACCAGGTGTGCGCTAAATTCAGTCATAAGGACCTTGCTTCCTTGCTTTAGTCGTATTCAAGGGATATGCGTTCTTTCAAATATGTTAATCAACAAAACAACACAAAAGCTTACAGATATATGTACTCACATCATTAAATATTCAGCGGTAAATTATACACTCACTTTTCTGTCAACTTTTTTAACAGGAAACAGTTCAGAAGATGAAGAGCAGCACGAAGGAGGCCTAAATAAGGACGCAATAAACGAGAGGATGCACGTCATCACCCTTCCTCCATACTTGATTTACCTTTGCGGCCATGTGTTGTCATTCGACTGACTTTTTTTTTTATGTTTCTCTGCTACGTATGTTAATTATTATACATTTTCTACAATGTTTATGTGTTTGTGTTGATGTTTGTTAGATTCAGGGGCTATCAAAGAGTATTATAGGATTCCCTTGTGTTAAGTACTGTCATATTTGATTGTAGTACTGCGCCTCTACACTAGCCCTGGGGCTATTTCTACTACAATCTTTATAGTTTTTACAGTTATTATGAAACAAAACCTGTCAAGTTGTCACTGTGTTGGGATATGGAAGTCGTTGTTTGAAAAGGTAACAAAGTAAGGCACTAGGAGAATCCACCTGTTGAAATGAGGGAGCTGTCGGAGTACAGAGATAGCTGACTACTTGACACCTGGTGCAGCGTGTTTCTCCACACCCTCATATGTGCCTTATAGGCACAGGAGCTTGGTTAAAGAAGCTGGGACAAGAGAGTAAAGCTACAAGTGATTTTGATTTTGATGCCATTTAGAACTGCCACAGTAGGCCACTACTTGACCAATGCACTTCTCTTTCTTTCTCTCTATAGTTTCTTAGGCTTTAGTTTAGCACAAGCCTGAATTTTGTTTGTATCTTCGTAATAATTATGCCGCAAAATAGTTTGCTTCTATGTAAAGTATGTTATAGGCTCGAGTTTGAACTCATCGTGTTCCCATGTTATGCTCAGGCAAGTCTCTCTGGTGCTTTTTCGGTTAAACGTGTGTCAAAGACATAGCGGTCCAGCTTTCAGTGTGGAGCAGCACGACTGCATCCAGCAGAGACCTGATCTTTGAATATAGCATGATGAAAAAACTGAAACCAAAGTCTTGATGAAGTGTTTGAATGATGAACAAAAATCCTCCAGGGAAAACATTACTCTGGACCCAGCAACAACACTATACCTGTGCTTTCAAAATCATCTTAACAGAAGGACTAGCCTCACTGTCAGCTGAAGTAGTGTAGACGCATCAATAACTGGGTGCATATAAGTTAAGTGTGCTTGTGCGTGATTGTGTGTGTGATGCTGAGAGTAGTTTGGTTGGTTGAATGTGTTTATTTGTTAAAATCCTGTATCTTATTTAGGAGGATTGACAATACAAATCAGTGCCTTAGACCTGCAAAAAGTATAGGTCTCTACCTTTGCCTGCACGAAGGCTTTTATGCCACGTGGCATTGAAAGAGTGAGTGTGCTTTGCTGACGTTTAGCAGTAAACTAGTGCTTTGTGACTGTTTCTCTGATATTTGTCCGTGTGAAAGTTGCATTACTAGGTCCAATCTAACTCTTTATATTCCACTAAAAGTGCAGTGACTGTAAGGAATATGTATTACGCCAATAAAGCCCATTCACCACAACACGGCTTTGTCACTTTGTACTGTATGTGTGTGTGTGTGTGTGTGTGTGTGTGTGTGTGTGTGTGTGTGATTTATCTGCCAAATTACAACTTTAGACATTGAAGAAGTTTCTTTTGAAGTATAATGAGCAACTGACTGAGATAGTAGTCTGAATTAGAAAGTATACATCAAGTTATTCCTTCCTCTAATGAATACAAAGTGTAGGGAACCCCGTTAGACTCTTTTGACTTTAAGAATTAAATCTTGTTTTTTTATTACCTATGAGACAAGCCCCTGAGTGAATGCAATGAGTTTCTCTCACTAATACATCATTAAAATGAATTGTCTTTGTTTTAACAAACTCATTGAGATGTATTTATATTTCCTTGCTTTTTTTAAACTGATGTTTTGGCTCTTTTGCTGTGTTATTTATGATTTTTCTTAATTTGACATTGTGCTAAATCCTTTGCACAGTGAATCACTTTGACATTTTGTTTAGAAAAAGTGCTAAATAGCTATAGCTATACATACTTAATCTATTGGGCTTGACATTGTAAGAGTATAATGTGAAGTCCATTGGCACAATGCAGTTCTCTTTATACATCCATGGGAACAACACTGCAGTGTTTAAGCTGGTCCGGGTGGCAGATCACATTTTCCAAACACTGTTTAGTCATTTTAACAATCCCACTGCTGTTGAACAAAATCATCATATAACTTAGGATTGAACTGAACACATTTGGTTTCACAAGTAAACAAGTTTATATAACTTGTTATGTTGAACACATTTGGTTTCATAAAAATATTCTTAGGATCATGTGTTCTGCCAAAAGGTTATCTTGACCCAAACGAAGTCATGAGAGCATGACATAGTGAAGAGACCAGCTGTGCTTTGTTTGTGGTTCAACCGACTGGTTTGATTGGATCAAACTATCACAAGGACAGATACAGAAAAACATTCCTGCCCTCTGCAATATCACTTTATAACAAATCACCTCTGGCCAGATCATCATCCTTCACATGGCCACAACGCCACACGGTTGTTGCTTGTTGTTGGTGATCCTTGCACTACTGTTCAGTTTGTTTAGTTTACCTAGTTCATTTAATACCACTCTATTCGTTGTATATACTGTGCATTTTTATTCTATTTTATCTTATTTTTTATTAATCTATTCCTTCAAATTCAATATCTGCTCTGTTATTTTATTGTACTGTATATATTGTGCATTCCATACGTTATATTTGACTCTGTAAATTGCTGCTGCTACAAACTAATTTCCCCCTGGGGATGAATAAAGTTGATATCTATGTATCTATCATCTATATACAGTAAGCCTTAAGAAAATCTCATTTACCCCACTCCTCATAAAGTATCATGATGAGAATAGAGTGGGAGGAACCAAATTATCCTGTACGTTTGTTTTTTAATCATTCTATGCACATCAGCAGAGTATTGCATAATGCAACAGAGGAGCGGTGTTGCATAATGGCAGACCGCAGCTGGCATGATGGATGATTCTTTCGCTGTTGCAAGACTGAAAAAGAGCGCAACCTGGTAATATGCACCTGTAATACAAAGTCAAAAACTGCAATAATCCTGTTACAAATCCCTTGATGGACGCTGCAGCAATATGACAGATCGGGACACTAACCAATCAACGATTGCGTGGGCGGGGTCTGCCTCAAGAATCAGCCAATCTCTAAACATCGAAGCAAATACTCTCGTCAAAGAACGGCTATATTGTAGCAGAGCGTAACCGCATTCAATGATCCTGTAACGTTAGCTGCAGTAGCCTGTCCTCAGTGACCCACATTTTCACTGGAGATGTGGTTATATATCACGAGCGGGTGTACGGAAATACCTCCCTTCTTCATGTCAAAAACAGATAAGTCCCGGAGCTAACTCTCGGTTTACGGGGGCGTTCAGCCTGACAGCACAACTTCTGCAAGTACTTTCAGAGTTTAAATCCACGCTAAAAAAAAAAGAAAAATCGCCATAATGGAGACTCACGAGGGGGCAGCTGCGGTAGGCGACGGCGTGCTCGACTTTTCCCATTTGAGCCTGGACACTTTCGCCGTTGACAGTATCAGCGACGAGAGGAAACGGGACACCAAGCAACTCTACTTGAACTACAACCGACTAGGCTCGCTGCCCTCCTCGGTCAGCCTTTTCTCCAACCTCGAGTTTTTGGACATCAGCAACAACGGACTGTCGGCCATCTGCGAGAGCGTTACGCGACTAACCAGGCTGAAAACACTCGTGGCCAAGAACAACCGCCTGGACGAGTTCTCGCTGCCCAAAGAATTCGGCTCCCTGCAGCTGGAGGTGTTGAACTTCAGTGGGAACCGTTTCGAGGAGATCCCCCTTCAGTGTACGAAACTGCTCCGTCTGCAGTCGCTCTCACTCGGTGGAAACAGACTGAAGAGTATACCCGCAGAAATAGAGAATCTAACCAGGTAGGTCCATGGAGGGCAAAGCCACAAGCTGTCACGGTTATAACGTTGGCTACACGTTATAACCTACAGCAAAGCACTGGCGTTGTAGCTTGCTGGACATGTAAACGTCGATATTCCATAATAATAAGATAATTGATAAATCACAATAATACACGGGGTGGGAGATGAAGAAGCCACTTAAGATTCCTGCCGAGGATATTATTTTTCAATCTTAGTTCATCAGAGTATTAAGTTTATTCCAATGTCAATTAACGCTACCGGTGTGACGTCCCAACTGGTTTTCAAACTAACAGTTGTGTTTACCCAACATCAGCCATTGTGTTGCCTCTGTCAACAGATTCGTCACACATTCACGAACATGATATTGGCGATTTTTTTTTAAAGCCTCATCTCATATCAACTGCGACGAATATGTTACGTAGACGCTGACGTAATATATGAGTATGTAGCTGGAAACACTTGCACCCTCATCGATTATATGTTGTTTTGCTAAGAGCTCACTTAGAGTCATATGCATCGCAGTTGATATGAGATGCAGCTTGACAATCGACAAATATCATGTTTGTGACTGTGTGACGAATCTGGCGACAGACGCACCACATTTGGTGATGTTAGGTAAAACACAACGGTACGGGAACCAGTTAGTTTGAAAACCAGTTGGGACGCCACACCGGTAGCCACGGATTTACAATGGTGGAATTTAAACAGAAAACTACCAGCCAACCAGAAAGGTAAAGCAAGTTGATTTCCTGTTTTTTGTTGTAGGTGACAATTAACTGTACAGCTGAAAAAAGTCGAATAATTGATAAAGCAGATCAGCAAAAAGTTAATGTTGACGATGATTAATCGTTTTATTTGTTATAAACTGTAAAAAAAAAGAAGAGGGGAAAAAAAAAGATCCCTCTTATTGGTCATCAGGAAATTGTGATTGGCATCTTTCAAAACATCTGATAGTTAATAGACACGATTAATCAAATAATTGACAAATCAATCAGCAGTGTTACATCAGCACTCAATCAATGTTATCCATCCCACTCTGTAGCCAAACATGAGCCCCTCTTCAGTACATACTGACATTTAAAATGTTTGGTGCTTTCTAGGTTTGTTTTGCTAGAGTCGACCTTTTATCTGTGTGCTCCATATGGACAGATTTGAATCTCCTTTATCAGTTGTTGTTGTAGAAAGTACTGTAAACTCTCTTTAGTCACACTTAACCTGATACTTAGCATGAGTCAGAGGAGCTGACCCACCTATTTAACCTGGCAACAACATATCTGTTTACAGTATCCATCACACTCACGCAACCTGTAGAGTTATGAAAGAGGGAACTTAACTAACCAAATATGGTCTGTTTTTCTCTCTCTTTAAGAGGTATGTAGTTTTTATCGGTTTAATGATATTTACCACTTTACAACCCCCTCTTACATTGATCCGTGTGAGTCATGATCCTTTCCAGGCTGTTTAGAAACATCTTGATTCATTGTGTGTGCAGGAAGTTCACTTGCGTTCCAGTAATAAACCAGAAGTAGTTCTGGAGATGTATACGAGTAGTAGTTACTAATGACCGGAAAGCTGTGCAATAGAATATTTGTTATGACATATTCATTATTATAGTCAAATGCATTCAAAGCGATTAAAGAAAAGCTGATGGAAAATAAAGGAGGCGCTGCTATGATTACACATGGCCTCACAGGAGATACACAATTCTGTGAAGAAAGTCAAAGATATGGAGAAAGAATATCACTCATGATAAAGTAATCAAAATAAATTAAACAAAGGACACTAACTTCAAAACGCCGCTGAAAGTGTGAGCAGCAGTCTGTTTACAGCTTTCAGATTATGTATATTTTCTGTTTTCTGTTAGAGTGGAAGACATTGACAGGCCAGCCATGAGATCATTTTTATCTTATCATTTCCCGAGTTTAACAGTAGCAAGTCGTGGTGACCCACTGTCAGGTCAAAGGTCAGACACGCGAGGCTCTTCACTATCACACAGACACACACACACCAGTGTGGCAAAGTAAGGAATTGTGTAAGAGGCAGACAATGATTTATCGTCACATGTAGCCAGCCCTATTTCATGTCACAATATCTTGATTATTTACATGCCCTGCCCTGCTGTCTTACACTTTTAATAAAAGGATAAAACTGTATTTACATTAAAGTGAGATCTTTCTGTCACAGTGATATGTGTCAAATTATTGATTAGCTTTGTTTAACTAAGAATAATCAAGAAGCTAAAACGCTTTTAGAGTCCTGCACAAATGAGTCATAAAACCTGAAGTGAATTAGCGTTTTTGCATTTATTTTTCCCCTCATCTCAAAGTCAGTGCCTCCATGGTGTAGTTTGTTGAAAGCCTTTTTTCTTCTGCCCATTGCATTCACGCTTCAGAATTCATAAAGGTGGTGTTATCTTGCTGAACAAGCATCATAAACTTGTGTTTGCCACACAGCTTATTTCCTGCAATAATCCAAAATCCAATGGAAGAATCCCATTGGCTTTTTGTCAAGGAAACCAGTGTCATGCTGACTTCCGGGGGTCAGTCTACAAAAATACATCATCCCTGCACCACTGTACTGTGTTTAGAGGCACATACTGTATGTTGACTGGAATCATGTGTAATTGTAATCTCCCAGCTTCATCCTTTTTTACTTATTTTCCAATTCAAGTCAAAATATCTATTTGTATCTATTTACGATACATTTTTAGAGATTGTTTTCACTTTCTCTCGGTCACTAAATCACTAAAACATACAGCCTTAGCACGTGTGAATATATATATATATACATATATATAAACTGTATAACATCTACATGACATATGATGTCTTGATGTGTTGGGAGAAGAAACCTAGAACCAGTGCTTCTGCGGTAGAATGGCCGAGGAAAAAAAAAAAGCTTAAATTTTGCGTTACTTTTTATATTGTCCCTGATGCTGACCATAGCGGACCATTCTCCATCTGTGGGAGCTGATTTGTGTCACTGTATCGATGAGGGCAGTGAGCAGACCCTGTCTCAGTGCCCGTCACAGAGGGGGCTTGCTCAGTGCTCAGCCACCAAGGACAGTATAATGGCTTCCTGTCTCGCAGTCGCTGTGTCATCAGTTCCAGCAGGCAGATAGATGGCCCGACGGCTTACTTTTGCTGACCAGCTATCCATTTCTCTCCCCCTGTCTCTCTGTTTCTCTCCCAATTACCCCCCTCCATGTCTCCATTGACCTACCAGGGTCCTTTGACGTCTCAGTACAACAGTCACGTACATTTAGCCGTCTGCTAAACTTGGAAGCAGTGGTTTTCTATGACCCTAACCCTCGTCACATTATGTACTAATTAAGTTAACACGGATGTATGTTGCTTCCATATATTATCGTGATTGGATGATACATGAATGTGTGTACTGCACAAAAGAAATCTGTGGTCTTGGATCATTTTGAACTCTGTTGTTCTGTCTTTTTGATGATTTGTAAACGTGACCCCACAAACAAATTTCGACACAAAGAAACAGAAGCACATGCACACAAACTCTACAGCATGTAGCCCTGCATCTTTAGCTCCCCCTTGTGGTATTTATGAGTTTTTTTAGACTTGGGGTCACTCAGTTGGCCAGAGAAATTCCCTTTTATAACATGTTAACTTCATGTATAAATATGGCCGCCCTGACTGACACTGCAGCGACTTTCATTACAAACTACAAATGTTCAACGTCAACGTCAGGCAAAAATGGCTCATTTGTGATATGGGACCCCTGGTCTTCATGGTACAGGTTTTGGTTATGAAATTGACTTTGTGTTTGGAATAATTTGATCACTTTTTTTATTTATTAATTTGTGGGCACCCAAAAGATGAAAATAGTGTGTAAATCTCGGTTCTTCTGGTCTGTGTGATCTTAATAATTACTTGGGTCTCTTTTTTTTCCTGTTAGTCTGGAGCTTTTGTATCTGGGTGGGAACCTCATTACAGCCATTCCTCCAGAAGTGGCTAACCTGCCCTGGCTCAGCTACCTGGTCCTATGTGACAACCGCATCCAAAGTGTCCCCCCGCAGCTCACCAGGTAACCGCTCACACATACACCGCCGGTATCTCACCAGTGAAACCCGAAGAGAACAATATCAAGATAAAAGCCAGATATGCATGTGCAATGACCCCACTTGTTCTGTCGGGTGAAATCATTCCTCTGTCCCTCTCCAGGCTCCACTCGCTGCGATCTTTAAGTCTCCACAACAACTTGCTGACTTACCTGCCGAGGGAGATCCTCTGCCTGGTGCACCTGCAGGAGCTCAGTCTCCGTGGCAACCCACTGGTGGTGCGCTTTGTCAAGGAGATGACCTACGACCCCCCGTCACTGCTGGAGTTGGCAGGACGTACCGTCAAGAGCCGAAATCTGCCCTACTACCCCTGCGACATGCCTTCAAACCTGCTGCACTACCTAGACTTGGCCAGCAAGTGCCCCAACCCCAAGTGTGCCGGTAAGACGCCTTTTCATAGGATGTGAAGAAAATGTTGTTTTTAGCATCAAAATATTTCTCATATCGCTCTCATTGGTTCTTGACATGTGTTCTTTTTTGGCTTGTGATCCCATACAATGTCGAATTTACCACTTGTAACCCCTTATCAAGCAGACACAGTATGTCTGCCAACTGTGACCAATTCAAACAAAAACTGTTTTTTTATTTAAATACTTCTGACAAACCTAAAGAAGTAAAAAATGTCCAGTAATTTACTAAAGAAAATGGCGAGGAAACTTTCCCAATCCCCGCGTTGAGAACAGCTTTGATATCATATCCTAAAAACCTGAGTTCATGACAATGATGCAACATATAAATATTGATCTACTATGTTGACGTGTTCATACATACCCTTTGTTTCCTTGTCTCACTCTGCTTTATCCAGGCGTCTACTTTGATTCATGTGTGCGCCAGATCAAGTTTGTGGACTTCTGTGGAAAGTACCGGCTGCCCCTCATGCACTACCTGTGCTCCCCAGAATGCACCTCTCCCTGCAGCTCCAACCCCCAGAGTGACGCCGAGTCGGAGGACGAGAGCAGCGTGCCCGCATACCGCCTGCAGAGGGTGCTTCTGGGATAGCACAACATGGAGCAGCCTCTGAGACCTCTGGATGGGGCCGGCCTTGTCAGTCTGTCAGTCTGTCAGTGTGTTCAAGATTTTTACAGAGATGAACTTGGCTGTCAGACTTAACATAAACGCACATACTCGCATACAAACACCAGCGGTAACACTGTATTACAGTCGGCCTGTGTGGCCGTCTGTAGACAGAATGACTCCTGAGGCCCTGAAAACTTGTTGACTCAATTTAAAGGAACTTTTGTAGAAAGGAATCCATACATCACTCTACATAACATGAGCAAAGGAGCCACGTAGCCATGTAAATCCACAGTCTGCCAGTCATGACTCCATTAAAGTGCTGGTCTCACGGTCAAGGATAAGAGCGGCAGGGTTCTTTTCCATTCAGGGCAGCAGACTTTATCTTTCATACAACACTTGGTGCTTTTGTAGTAGAGACGGTAAAATGCTCTGTATTTTCTGCACGTTTGGATACAAACAATTTGTTTTTTGTCCGGCTACTGGTCAGCCAGCTTTCATTTAAATTTCTCTCACTGGGTGAGCACCAAAGCTGCTATGCCAACTAGAAAAAAGTCTGGGATTTATTTTGAATATATCCGCTGAAACATTGACATTAGTTTAACACTACAGTGTTCTAAACTGATCGAGTACGATGTGTGACATGGCCTTATTTACACTGTGTGTGTGTGTGTGTGTGTGTGTGTGTGTGTGTGTGTGTGTGTGT